AAAGATGATTATTTTGATCATCTATTGCTGTATAACAAACCAGCCAAAATGCAACAGCTTAAAACAATCTTTTTATTACTCCTCGTGGTTCTGTGTGTTGATTGGGATCACCTGGGTAGTTCTAGTCTGAAGATGTCACCTGGGGTCACAGTGAGTGGGTGGTTCTCTTTGGCTAAGATATCCCAGATGGCTCACTCACATGGCTGCCATTGATGCTGGCAGAAGGTTGGGACTCAGCTGAGCATGTTGACCACAGCTCCTCGCATGGCCCCACATGTCGCATGGGCTTTTCACAGGGTGGCAGCTAGGTTCAGAGAGGCAGAGTTTTGGGAGTGAGCGGTCCCAGAAGAAGAAGCAAATGCTGCCTGTCAGACCTTGTAGGACTAAGCCTAGAACTGGCATGGTGTCACTTCTACCCCTGTCTAGGGCTTATGCAATCATAGGGCCAGACTAGATACAGGATGAGGAGAAAATAAACTCCAGTTCTCCAAGGAGAGAGTCACAAAGAAATTGGGGCCATCTTTAATCCACTACGTCTTTTGTCAATACATAAAGCTATGGATTACACAAAAATCTTTTTTGGGGAAAACCATATGTCTACCATTTTTTTCAATGTTTATCTCAATGGTATGCTAGCTATATGGCGAATAATGCCACATTTATAATCAGATTATAGTCCCCATTCTATGTTCTTTTTTATTGGGGATTGCTTACTTCTTTCATAGGGTACAACTTTAGCAAACATATTTGTTCCTTCATTATAGGCTTTCTCCCCATTTACCTGTGTGGAATCCAAGTCAGAGCTACCAGAGTGTCTTTCACATCATAAAGCAAGATCTCTCTACCAGTAGAGATTAAATGTGAGCCTGGATGACCTCTTATTATTTATTCTGAATTTCTAGCCTCTGCATGGTAAAATTATAACTGTGTGGGAAGCGATCTCTGTTCAGTTCAGAATTCTGTTGAAGTCATTCCAGTAACTTGCCCATAGCAACAGAAAGAAGCCACCGTGTCATACTTGCAGCTTAACACCGAATTCTGCAAATTACAGAAAAAACTTTCTTTTCTTTTTCATAGAGATGAGCAGTTCAAGTGTCAGAGCAGAAATAATCCTATATGAGCTGATTTAATATACAAAGGTATACATTCAAACTTGGGATTTAGTGTTTTCCCTTTCATTAGCATTTACTTCTTATTGGAAATTATTTTTTTTAAATGCCCCATCAAACATGTTACTGTGTTTTGCATGGAAGAATTTACTTATTATAATCAATTAGAGGTAAGCTTTTGATTCTGATGTTATCGGCAGCTCAGAGGTTTCTATATATGGTTTTTTGTGATATTTATTTTTCAATATTCTATAACTTCAGGTTCAATTTTCCTCTTGGCCTGAGATGTATGTCCACGTTAGTTTTAATTTACTTGGTTTGATTGTGTGCCTCCTACTGTTTTCTGATTTTGGATTGTGATGAATGTTGTCAATTCAATTTCTTTCAAAATTTGAGGTTTCTCTATGGCTAGTCCATGGTGACCTTTGTGATTGATTTTTTCATGGTTATTGAAAAATAAGATATATATTTTGGGAAGAAGGTGTGTGTGTGTTTGCAGAGGATCTAGCTTATTTTGTATGTGATTGAGAAAAGTTCAACTGGAGTCATATACTATATTTTTTCCTAATACTTCCTAGAATTTGTTTTATGAATATTGATGATTTGTGTAACAACATTTATAACTTAAATTCTCATCGTGGATTCCTTTCCTTGTAATAACATGTTCTCCTGTTTCACACTTGGTGTTTTTTGCCCTGCATTTACTTTGATATTTGTGCCTTTTGGGGTTTGTTTGCATTGCCCTAATATGTCTCTGCCCTATTATTTTCAAACTATGAATCACTTTAGTTTAACATATTCTGAGCATACCAATTGTTAGAGTTCCATTGTCCATTCTCCCTTTTGTTCTCTTATTTTTTTAAAAAATATTTCCATTTCTTTTTGTAATTTTTATTCTATTTCTCTTACCATTTTTTTTTTAATCCTCACCCGAGGATATTTTTCCATTGATTTTTAGAGAGAGTGGAAAAGAAAGGGAAAGAAATATCCATGTGAGAGAAACACACCAATTGGTTGCCTCCTGCACGAGCCCTGATCAGGGCCCAGGTTGGGGAGAAGCCTGCAACCAATGTATGTGCCCTTGACCAGAACTGAACACCCGGAACCCTTCAGTCTGCAGGCTGACACTCTATCCACTGAGCCAAACTGGCTAGGGCTCTCTTACCATTTTTGATGGAAACAGACTACAGTAATAATTGTTTTAGTGAAGAATTGTTGTGAAAAGTGAATATAGCGTCCAGCATTTGTTCTGCAGCAGCCATTGTAGAGGCAATGTGCACCCAGGCGGTGTGAGAGTGGCCCCACCAAGCTCCCTCCTGGGAACCACACAGTATCTCAGCATCAAGGCCTGTCATCATCTCTTACCATTTTTGATGGAAACAGACTACAGTAATAATTGTTTTAGTGAAGAATTGTTGTGAAAAGTGAATATAGCGTCCAGCATTTGTTCTGCAGCAGCCATTGTAGAGGCAATGTGCACCCAGGCGGTGTGAGAGTGGCCCCACCAAGCTCCCTCCTGGGAACCACACAGTATCTCAGCATCAAGGCCTGTCATTGCTCTAAACCAGTGATGGCAAACCTTTTGAGCTCGGTATGTCAGCATTTTGAAAAACCCTAACTTAACTCTGGTGCCGTGTCACATATAGAAATTTTTTGATATTTGCAACCATAGTAAAACAAAGACTTATATTTTTGATATTTATTTTATATATTTAAATGACATTTAACAAAGAAAAATCAACCAAAAAAATGAGTTCGCGTGTCACCTCTGACACATGTGTCATAGGTTTGCCATCACTGCAAACTGTGACTGTGAGCATCTATGCTTCATCTCCATTTATTTTGTGCATTCCTGCTTTCACTACAGGTCAGTGTTATTTTAGGTTGTATGTGTTGTTTAGCATGATTTGGTAAGTTAATTTTTGGATCTGGGACAGCTCAAAAGTTTTTCCATATAAATTGATGGTAATTGCTTCTTCGCTTTCCACCATTTGGCTTAGGAAAGGTTTCATAGGAATGCTCTACCTTGAGCTAATGGGAGCAACCTGTATATAAACACTTAAACCTCTAGGGCAGGTTTGGCAGTGAAAAGAAAATTCAAAGATATGGGTTTGATATGGGAAATGCTAATAGACTTGTAGGGCAATACCAGATGGTATTTAGGTAATAGTTTGGAGGCAGTAGATTGAATTACTAACATTCTAGAAGTTTTTTTAAAAATATGTAACTCTAACCTATATCATCCACATTTCTACCTCTTCCATACAAGCATAAACACACAGCTTGGAAAATAAAATAAGAATGGTGGCTTTATATATTCATCTTTGAATACAAAATCCTGTACAAAGAAATGGGTAGTTCATATAATTTCACATGCATATGAAGCCTGTTCCTTAAATTGCACAATTGTCGTATATATATATTATTTCAGAGAGGGAGAGGGAGAGAGAGAGAGATAGAAACATCAATGATGAGAGATTATCACTTATTGGCTGTCTCCTGGCATGCCCCACACTGTGGATTGAGCCCAAAACCCAGGCATGTGCCCTGACCAGGAATCGAACCGTGACCTCCTGGTTCATAGGTTGATGCTCGACCACTGAGCCATGTCGGCTGGGCAAATTGTACATTCTTGAACACTGGCTAAAGTGAGCAATAATAAAACATTCACCCTATGTGAATGTAAATGTACATTTTTAACTCCGAGCTGAATAATTCCAGCTATTAATCTTAGGAAAGTTAACTGATTTAGCAAGTGAACTAATATATGTACCAAGAAGGTCAAAATCATAGGCGGTGTTATTAAATGTAGTAAAAAATAAAGATAATTCAAAGTGGTTTTTCTCATAGATGGATAACAGTATGGCTATTACCAAAGGGGAAGGGGGGACTTGGGAGAGATAGTAGAGGGTAAAGGGGGAATAAATGGTGATGGAAGGAGACTTGACTTGAGGTAGTGAACACCCAATGCAATATACAGATGGTATATTATGGAATTGTAAACCTGACACCTATACTTGTATTAACCAATATTACCCTCCAAAATTTGATAAATTAAAAAAATAATTATAACACATAAGCAACATTTTTATCAGTTGGAAAACAAAAGATGACTAACATTTGGCAGTAGTTGCATTCTTGACATATAAAGTTAATTTTAAACTATTTAAATATTTTATTTCATTGTTGATGTATATACATCCTTTATTTACATTTTAGAATGGTTTTTCTTGACTTGTTCTTAAGATTCCCTCTTAAAACTGCTGAAAATAGTTAATGATCTATAAAACTGACTTCTGGTTCCAGTAAGAAGATCCTTACGTACTTTTTACCTGAATCATTTGGTATTTACCTTTCTAATATGAATAAGAAACACATTAATTTGACTTTTATGTAATGGAGGTCATTAAATATTTATTGAGGTACCATGACTGTACCTTATCAGTAGTTAAATGTTCCTCTTACAAAGGAGATTAGAGAGATAAATGGCTGCTTTGCTTTATCCTTAGCGCTGCTGAGGAGGTGGGAGAGGCTCCCACCACCACCGCTGTACTGGAAGCCGTCAGCCTGGCTTGTGGCTGAGCAGAGCTCCTCCCATGTGAGAGCGCCCTGACCACCAGAGGGCAGCTCCTGCATTGAGTGTCTAGCGGCAAACTTTTTGGGGTGGGCAAACTTTTTGACTCGAGGGCCACAATGGGTTCTTAAACTGGACTGGAGGGCCGGAACAAAAGCATGGATGGAGTGTTTGTGTGAACTAATATAAATTCAAAGTAAACATCATTACATAAAAGGGTACGGTCTTTTTTTTTTTAGTTTTATTCATTTCAAACGTAGTTTGCCCACGGCTGTGCTAGGGGGTGGGGGTGGCCGGAGAGAGGTCAATGGGGGAAAAGGAGAAGTATGTGATACTGTATGTAATACTTTAAACAATAAAGAATTTAAAAAAAACCTTCAAAGTGTTGATTGTAAAGGAAGACCAATAAATAAATGAGGAAAAAAAGTGTTTTTAAAATTTTAAAAGTATTATGTTCCCAATTGGAAGGCTCCTTTTGATTTCAGTGACAGTGCAGGGAATATACTGATAGGTTTAAAATGAAACTGTACCATAAAAATGTAAACCTTATCTAAAAAGCCCAAGTCAGCTTTGACCAACACCCACAATTCTAGCCTTTACTTGAGGTAATTGCAATAAGGAATTTGGTATTTATCTTTCTGAATGGCTCACACAGCCTTTAATTTTTAACACACATTTTTATTTAAATGCTACTATACTGCTGCACAGTATCTCCTTGTATGGGTATTGTTAAAGAGCAAACCACAGGCCCCAAATACCATCACTTATGCTAAAGCCAATGACAAAAAACTTAGATTTAATACCTGACCTATTGCTGTTTCAGTCCCTCTCAGAAAGGTAATCTTTTTAAAAAATATATATATTTTGTTGATTTTTTACAGAGAGGAAGGGAGAGGGATAGAGAGTTAGAAACATCGATGAGAGAGAAACATGGATCAGCTGCATCCCGCACACTCCCCACTGGGTATGTGCCCGCAACCAAGGTACACGCCCTTGACCGGAATCGAACCTGGGACCCTTGAGTCCCCAGGCTGACGCTCCATCCACTGAGCCAAACAGGCCAGGGCTCAGAAAGGTAATCTTTGTTAACCACTCCGAAATTCTCTGGTCAATGAGGTAATGTGTGACCTGGGCCTACTCATCCCCAACCCCCATCTCCCATTGAAAAAAGAGGCAATTTGCATATAAAAAACTCTGGCTGTCCACCACTCCCCCAAAATGTCTTGGTCTAAAAATGATCCTTTCTCTTCTTTTGTTAATAGCTCCCTTTCTTATTAAAACTGTCCCTTTTTGTATAGCCCTTTGGAGAACTCTTCTACTTGCTCAATGGAATGCTGCTGGACTCATGAATTATTTAATACAGACAATTAGACCTTCCAATTTACTTGGCTAAACTTTGTTTTTTAATAATATACACTTGTGCATTTTATTTTCCCCCTATAGCTAAGCATTTAGTTATTGTTATTTACTATTGCTACTGTTATTTTTTTTTTACATGTATATGCAAGCTATGGGCTTCTCTATATTCTCCCTTGTATACATAAGCAAATGTTTATCCTGAGTTGATTGTAAGGGAAAATACAAATTAAAAATAAGGCTTAATTCTCCCTGTTGAAAATAAGGGAAGAGACTTTACCCACCCCTGCCTCCTCCCCACCTTTTATGAAAGTATTTCACTTGAAACTTGTAGGTTCTCTCTTTATGTATGTAAATTGGTTTGAAAGCTAAATAAGCCTCTGCCAGCTTTCTCAAGGACCTTGAATACATGTCAGAAAAGGTCAAAGAGTTACTTAAAAATGTAACATCCTATATAATAAAAGGGCAATATGCAAATTGTCCCCTTGACCAGGAGTTCGACTGGAGTTCGACCAGGGCGCTGAGGAGGCCTGTCAACCACCCAAGGCCCCTCACCCTGGCCATGCACAAATTCGTGCACTGGGCCTCTAGTGTAAACATATTTGTGATTCCCAGGCAAAGATCAGTTGGTGAGAAGAATGAGCTCCATTTTCTGGACCATGAGTACTATTTATTCCCAGATCAAGTATAATTCTGTGCCTCTCAGATCAAGTGTAATTCTGTGCTAGCTTTTTTCCCTGCTATTTATAAATGCATGGATCATTCCTACCCAAGTTCATAATAATGTGTAAGACATTTTTTATACCTCATTTCACATTAGCTTTGGATTATGTCACAAACACCTTTAAATATCCCTCTGAAAAAGAGAAGTTGTACCTTTCACATGATTATCATTAAGTTCCTTAACAATAAAAGTAAAAGTAAACAGACAAAGTTTTCTAAGGCATAAAAATATACCCCATATTACCTGGTAGAGCTACATTAATTCAAAACAAAGACATCAGTCAAAATATTTATTCTGTTCTTAATTGGATTGAATGGTAATACAAATATTGTGAGCCAGACGTACCTTCCTCATGTATTATATTTTAAATGCCCAGAACTTTATATAAAACCACACAACCTTGTTTCTCTCACAATTCATACTATGGGACCTTGGGTCTAACCTTTGAATAACTCCTTTCCTTGACCATGACTGTTATAGATCTGATAAAACTAGCTCCAGTTAGAAGTTTTGAGGGGGAAAACCTTGCTAAACAGAAACTTCAAGCCTTCTGTGGCTAACAGTCTAAAAGCCTCCCTCAAAAGTGAAGATAGAATACAAAAATATAGGCTCGTACAATTACTGTAAGACTGCTGGGAAAGTTCATTACCACCCCAGTGCTTACACTAAGAGCCACAACTTGCAACTTGTACCAAATCTTGAGCATTATCATTTTCAAAGATGTTAAGAAGGATGTAAACATTATCCTGCACCTGACGGCAGCAGCAACAACAAGAGAAGCCCAAGTGCTCACTCTAAGGTGTAGAGCCATGCTCAGGATAGACACCGACACCCACTTCAGCTAAGGCTCCCAGAGTGCCCTCACGGTCACGTTAAGCACAGCTCTGGGAAGATCACAGAGCAGGGCATCCACCACCTCAATCCCTTCTCAGGAATTTGCTCCAAATGGAGAAACCAAGTCAGGCTGCATCTGGTGAGCAGGAGAGGAGCTGAAGCCACATCAGCAACACTGGGATTTGCTCTCTGCTGGCAAGGCCTTCTCGTGCAGTTTAATTTTGTCCCCATCGTTGTCTTCATTGGGAAAGCTTTGCTGGTTCATGAGAATGTTCTCCACCAGGAAGCGGGCTGCTTCCTCTATGTTGATGTTGTCCTGTAGAGCAGAAATAAGGAACAGGATCAATTCTGAGGATTAATCCACAGAATAACGCTTGAAGAATATTCACAGGAACTAGGAAAGTTCCTCATTGGGGACACTATAAGTACCCAGCTATCAGCTTCTCCAACACTACAGTGTTAGCCAAGAGTTCAGTGCTACTGAGCAATGTGGCTATGGAACCCTCTTCTTTTTACAAAAGATCACCGTTTTGGATGTTCCTATTTTAAACTTTTTGCCACTGAGGTTCAAAAAACTATTTTGATGGTTGCAAATAAATATTCACCCCCCTCTGTGTTGCCACTCACATAAATGGAAGCAATGAAATGAAAAACATCCCTGCCCTTGAACATCTAATTCAAGTATTCTGGATACATTATGAAGAAAAAGGTCAAGGGGCCACACCATATTAAAATAGGATAAATCCATCATGTTGCTCCCCTATCTCTGAGTGATGCCAGAGGGGTTCTTGGCTTCGCACAGGTAAGAATTCAAGACACGAGCCAGACAGAGAAGAGGTTGACGTGGAAAAGCAGGTTTTATTGAGCAGAGAGGACAAGCACGAAAAGCCACTCCACAGAGTAGTCTTGTTTCCTTCTCTTGTGGAGTCTCACGAGAGAAGAAGAGACTCCAACCATCTCTAGAGGTTAAGCTTATATCTATTATAACTGGTTATAGTTTCTATGGAAAATTGCTGCTATGGGGAAATAGAGAGTGGGAAAAGTTGGGATTAACTTTAACCATTACTAGGTATATTTTGTGGCCTTGTGCTTTCCCTTTAAGGCAGCGGTTCTCAACCTGCGGGTCGCGACCCCTTTGGTGGTCGAACGACCCTTTCACAGGGGTCGCCTAAGACCATACTGCATATCAGATATTTACATTACGATTCATAACAGTAGCAACATTACAGTTATGAAGTAGCAACGGAAATAATTTTATGGTGGGGTCACAACATGAGGAGCTGTATTTAAAGGGCCAGGAGGTTGAGAACCACTGCTTTAAGGTATGGGTAAACGGTAATGTACGAGTGAGGAGCTATTCATCAATCCTTGCAGGAGTTTTCCCTGTCCAGAGGCTCTTCCTGGTCTGCTTAAATCTCTGGTCAGCCCAGTTCCGTGTCAGGCAGCACGAGACAGGCCCTGGACTTAGTTGATTTATATAGTCCTCATGCCCCCTCTCCTGTATTATTAGTGTGAATTATTAATTTTAGATGTCATATGTAAATTGACCTGAAACAATGTTGTAGGTGTGATGTCCATTAACACTATCCTAAGGAATCACTACCTATCACATTTGTGTAATAGATTTATAAGTTGTCATCAAGTAGACAATCAGTAACACATAGCAAAATATGTGATTTTTAAAATATTTAACTTAATATTTTAAAATAATTGTATTTACAAAAACATTGCAGTAATAGTAAAAATTCCTAAACATTCTTCATCCATATTCCTCAAATGTTAACATCTTAGATAAATGGAGTACAACTATCAAAATCATGAAATTAGATAATAGTATTATCAGCATTATTCTATCAACCTTATTCAAATTATACCAACTGTCCAGGTGAGCAGCTGAATTGTGTGGTCATGTCTCCTGTCTCCTTTAATCTGGAACAGTTCCTTAGTCTCCTTACTTTCATGAACTTGACATTCTCAGAGAGTACTGGCCAAAGAATATCCCTTAATTTGGGTCTGCTTGATGCTTCCTTGGCATTAAGTTCGTTATGCATTTTGGACAGGAATAAGGCATGAGTGATGTCTTTGTCAGTGTATGAGGCCCACTTGCTTAAAGTTCTATCTCTCAGGTTTCTCCCTGAAATATTCCTCTTCTTCCCTATGTACTTAGTAAGTAAAATATGTAAATATTCTATGTTTCACCATACTTTTTTCCATTAATTTTAGCTTCAATCAATTCTTCCCTAAAACAATTATTGCTGTGGTGTTTAATGGTGATTTTCTATTTCCATAATTCCTTCTACATTTATCAGCTGTAATTCTACAATTCTCTTCTCTACCACTTATTTATTCATATCATGGATTATTATTTTATTCTGTGTACATAGTATTACAATGTTATTTACTTTGTTGCTCAAATTGTCTTAGATAAGGGGGCTCCTATAGGCAGGCTCCTGTGCCTTTGTGATATGTCTCCATCACACTTTGTGTTTCTTACTTTCTGGCACCACAAAATATCTCAGGCATGTCTTCACTTGCTTGTCCCATGGTCCTGAAACCAGTCATTTCTCCAGGAAACCCTGGTTCTTTTTATTGGAGAATAGCAGCATTTAAAATTACTGAGAACTCTGTAAGCGATTGGCTCTGTGGTGTCATTGCTTCTAAGCCCTCTCAACAGACATTCAGTAGATACTTGTGTGTATCCATATGCACATCAAGATCTATTTCTACGTTTACCTCTCTGTTTAACCTCCAGTGGACACTATTTTTCCCCATGACTCCATCATCACTCAATGTTATTCTGATCATAAGAGGCACCAAACAATCTTCCACTTTTAGAGTGAGTTTTGGGTGAAGCTAAAAACAACCTGGTAGTATGTAGGTGATTAGTAAGTACAATTTTTTTTTAAAATATATAAATAGGAAATTCACAGAAGGCATACTAAAACCTGGAATTGTGCTAAGATTACACCAAACTTATGGTTTTGAGTTTGTTTGTCATCACAGAATTTCTCAAACATAAGTCTGATTGCTATTTGACCTCTAAAGTGAAACTTCCAACACACATAAACAAGCACCCTCCACCCTCCAATACTTTGTGCTTGTGATTTTCACCTTTGCTTTCTTGCATATCTAGGCTGTTAAGACTTTCAAAAGTGACTTATGTGTGTGTGTTTATTTTATTTATTGGTTTGAGAAAGAGGAAGGGAGAGAGGGATAGAGCAGTAATGGCGAACCTTTTGAGCTCGGCGTGTCAGCATTTTGAAAAACCCTAACTTAACGCTGGTGCCGTATCACATATAGAAATTTTTTGATATTTGCAACCATAGTAAAACAAAGATTTATATTTTTGATATTTATTTTATATATTTAAATGCCATTTAACAAAGAAAAATCAACCAAAAAAAATGAGTTCGCGTGTCACCTCTGACACACGTGTCATAGGTTCGCCATCACTGGGATATAGGGAGAGAGGGAGAGAGAGAGAGAGAGAGAGAGAGAGAGAGAGAGAGAGAGAAACATCAACTTATTCCACTTAATTATGCATTCATTGGTTAATGCTTGTATGTGCCCTGACCAGGGATCGAACCTGCAACCTTAGCATATTGGGACAACACTCTAACCAACTGAGCTACCACACCATGAAGGATCAAAAAAAAACATTTTATCCAGCTTCCCATATGGGTCAAAGAAAAATTCTCACTCTACTATTCATGAAGAAACATGTCACAAATATTGATACTTTCTTCCTTTTCAAATTATTTCATACACAGTTAATATAAAACTCGTCAAATGTCATCCAAATTCATCTCTCTGACTTTTTCAGTGCCTTTGCTAGCCTTGCACATGAAATACATCTTCACGAGGGACATGGTCCTAGGTTTGTTAGCCTTCTGGAAAAATTTAAAAAATGCTTGTGCTTCATCCCATAAACTCTAGGTGCATGAGACTTCACTTAAAGACTCAGCTCACAGAAAATGGCATTTGTTATTTACTCTGAATAATAGCTCATTTTAATGTGAAATCTGTCCTGTTCACCTCCCACTAACCAATTTTGAAAGCATTAAGCATTGCTGCTGTTGACTGAACTTTTTTCCAGGCTTCCAACCAGCACTCACCTAAGTCCACCTAAATACTTTATATTTACAAGCTCACAGCAGAGCAGATACTCAGGCAAAACAGATCTCACCTTTGCGGAGGTTTCAAACCATCCAGTGAAGCCATGTTCTTTGCAGAACTGGTCCATCTGGGCAGGAATCTGACTACCTTCCTTTTTCTGGTCACATTTATTAGCTAAGAGAACAGCAGGAATAGGGCCACCACTTGGAAGATGGACTTTGCTGTCCAGGTCACTTTTCCATTTTAAGACGGCCTCAAATGTGGAACCTCTCGATATATCAAAGACTACAAAAGCACCAACAGCTTCTTTATAGTAGACTCGGGTCATGTTGCCAAACCGCTCCTGCCCTAGAAAAAAATATAATAAGAGGTTAAACACTCCTAATTTAAACAGGGTCCCAATTTAGATATAACCCCCCTGACCCTAAGAATAATGCTAT